TGAGCTGAAGAGCTGAGGGACAGCGCCCAGGCCCAGAGTTCAAGCCCCAGGACTGACAAAAATAATTTTTTGAAGTAAACGTAACCCTTCTAGAAGGCTAATTGGAAGAGTCAGTTTGCTAGAGCGACTACAGCAAAACAATACAGATGGGGGAGCTTAAACTTTAAAAGTTACTTTTATGAATTTGAAGGCTAAAAGTCCAAGAGGAAGGTGTCATCAAAGTTGGATTTTCCCCAGGCCTCTTTGCACTATCAGTGGCCTCCATGCATCCTGATGTCTCTCTGATTTCCTCTTCTTACCAGGACACCAATCCATACAATCCACGCTCCCACCCAGCCATTTCTCATAGGGTTATAGGTTAACCCACTGGGAAAGAGAAAGACTCATTTCCTCTCTTGTTAATTCCAAAAGTCTAGACCACTGATGACAAACCTGCCGACCTCTCTGTATGTATATATCTATACATATATATGAGTGTATATGTAAAACACATGTCTACAGCATATGTAAACATATGTTTTGCTATTTATATATGAACTTATATATTATTCTGTACGCATATGGAGGTTTTGAAGGATTTGAATTAATTGCCTGAACAGCTACTAGACTTGGCCCATCCAGACTGGCCCTCCCAGGGTGCCTAAGTGCTTCCTGACATGCTTTCCTAAGTTTCATTCCACTTTGGTTGAAGTAGATCCTGTTGATTACAGCAAAGTGCCTTGATGGATGCAGCCTATTTATTAGGTCGTAGAGATGGTTTCTGTGTTAATAGTGAAGTGTGTTATATCAAAAAATATCACGTAGCCTCTGTAAGTAACACAAACTTGCGGCCTTGCACTAAGTTTTAAGATCTATTTAAGAGATCTTGTCAGGCCTCGAAGGCCACTGAAAGGACACGGGCTTCAACGCTGGGTGAGGTGACCTGTAGGTAAGGCGCACTCTCTGCACAGTGCTGAGAAGGCATCTGGCTTGGTTGAATAGAACCACATTGCCTTCAGCCAAATGGCCTGACAACACACATGCAGGGAAGTAAAAGATGTCACAGCAATTGGAGCCCAGGGTTTCTTGATCTCAAGCAACACATAATTTAATACACCTCTGATACATTTGTGTAACAAATGTATTAAACTGCCATCAAACTAACCTCTGCTTCCTAAGTAGCTAGAAATCCAGGCATGAGCCACTGTGCCCAGCTTCCCTGATGGGATACTTACAAGTTGCATACATGTGTCAAATTATTACATTATACTTCATAAACATGCACAATTACTATGTGTCAATTAAAAATGAATTGGAGAGGGGCTGGTAAGATGGCTTAGTGATAGAGTGCTTGCCTCGCATGCATAAGGCCCTGGGTTCAATTCCTCATCACCACATAAACAGAAAAAGCCGGAAGTGGCGCTGTGGCTCAAGTGGTAGAGTGCTAGCCTTGAGCTGAAGAGCTGAGAGACAGCACCCAGGCCCAGAGTTCAAGCCCCATGACTGAAAAAAAAAAATGAACTGGAGAACCAGGTGCTGGTAGCTCATGCCTGTAATCCTAGCTACTCAGAAGGCTGAGGTCTGAGGATCATGATTCAAAGCCAGCCTTGGCAAGAGCCTTGTTCATGAGCCTTCATAAGCCTCTTATCTCCAATTAACCACCTGAAAACCATAAGTGGCACTTTAGCTCACGTGGTAGAGTGCTAGCTTTGAGCAAAGTAGCTCATCCCAGGCCCTGAGTTCATGCCCCATGACTGGAAAAAAAAAATATTGTGGGGGGGGGGGGGGTGAGGAAGAAGAAGAATATGAGCGCTGAACTGGTTTGGGATCTAACTGCAATTTATAAGCTGCATGACCTTGACCAAGTTACTTAACCTCTCTGTGTCTTGGTTTTCTCATCTATAAAAGTATAAATAGAATACTCCCCTCTTTATGGAATTAAATGAATTTATAATGCCTGAAACATTATTATTTTTAGGCACATGCAATCTGAAGACAGCCATGTTGTCATTGAAATTGAACAAATCTGAACATCCATTTCCAGATATTCATTTCCAAGTTTACTCTTATGTCGATACAGTCCAAAACTAGACTATAAGTGACAATTCTTCCTTCTTACTACATTCCTAAAATTTGTTGTGCTTTTAGCTGAGTGATTATTCAGCTGTTTTTATCAATGACTGTTCTCCAGGAAGCTTAAGAATAATGCCTGCCTGTAATCAACCCCACGCGTGAACTCTCAGATGCTTCCCTGTAGAGCTGTCACTCCCCTGCCCAGGAGGAACATTCTGTGATTTAAAAATAGCTCAAGAATTTCATTGGGATGAGGATCTCAGCCTCCAACATTATTAGATGTGTATGACTTCCACTGACTACTCAGGTGGAAAGCAGGAGTTCTAACTTCCCAATGCCCTTTACAAAACAGAACACAGATCTTTATGATTTCACATCACTTGTCCTGTCAGCTGGTATAACATGAACACCATCAAGGTAAGGAGGAAATGCCTATCTTACCAGAGGCCTTTCCTTTATAATTATCTTATTGACTTGTGGTTAACACCAAATGCAGGGCAGAGTGGGTCTCTGTCATTCTGATGCTCTGCTCAAAAACCGCTAGGACCAATTTGGATACCTGGTCAAGCTGTGGTCCCCCTTCCATCTGCCCCCATTCCTTTGTCAATAATTTTTATTTATTTTTTTATTGTGAAAATACTGTACAGAAGGGTTACAATTACATGGGCAAGACAATGAGTACATTTCTCATCAAGCATTGTAGCCTCCTCCTTTGTTTTCCCTTCCCATCCCTTCCTCTCTCCGCTCCCCCACCCAACCAACCTTCCCCCCCAATCCTCCTCCCCCCCCCACCAAAGTTGTAAAGTTCGTTTTTGACATAACAACTTGCACATCTCATTGTTGCAGTGGGTCCACCTGTATCCCTATTTAAACGATTTGTTTTTTTCCCTTCCCCTCCACTAGCGATCCCTGAAGGAAATAAAGATGTTAAGTTTGACTTTTTTTTTCAAAAGCTATTCTATAAATTAGAACAGCTGACAGTACCTGGAATTTATACAGTTTATTCTCTGTCTCAAACATTTTGTTAGCTGATTTGTTAGAAATCTTTTAGACTGACTATGATACATTTCTGTGAAAGCTATTCAAAGAGCCCTAGACAATTCAATTTTGGGTTGAGATCCCAGGACTTGGAAATTATTAATTTTATATATCTAAAAGAACTGATTTAGCAAACAAAGAGCTTTCCATGGGAATGATTCCATAAAACATAGCAAAACCCATTCTTACAACCAGTCTCCTATTGGAAACAACCCCCCCCAAAAAAGCAATAAAATTTCCCCCCAAAAAAGCAATTAAACTGAATTTTTAAAAGACTATTCCTAAGGATTTGGGGCAATATTTCCTGAGCTCAGCCAAGTCTGGTGATTATAATGGTACCCATGGTCCAAAGTCTCTGTTTTTATTCCTGATTTGGCCAGATTTCCTATGTTACCACCTGAATGAGCCAATGAAGCCCTGTGTCTTCTGTTTGTATTTCTTATCAAATACACACCACCACAATAAGAGGTTACCTGGGGATTTTGCATTGGAAGGATAAAACACTTTTTAAAATGCTATTATAATCATTTTCTGTAATTGGCCAGTTTCTGCTGCTATCACTAAGCTAGGCTTCTATCTGTCCATAATTCAGCATGGCTAAATGAAGTCCTTTTGTTTTCAATTACTAAAGGAATAAAAGTGCCCAAACTTACCTCTTAAAGTGCATACTTGCCAAGAATAATCATGAAAAACTCAACAACAGGAGCATGCATGTTACCAAACACACACAAAAAAATTATTAGAGGGCAACAGAATCTTTTTTTTTTCTTTTTTTTCTTTTTTGTCAGTCATGGGGCTTGAACTCTGGGCCTGGGCACTCCCTCAGCTTTTCAGCTCAAAGCTAGTGCTCTACCACTTGAGCCACAGTGCCACTTCCAGCTTTTACTGCTTATGTGCTTATGTGATGCTGAGGAATCGAACCCAGAGCTTCATGCATGCAAGGCAAGTACTCTACCACTGAGCTACCTTCCCAGCCCAACAAGGAATCTTGTAACATAAATTTAAGAGATGACAGAAGAGTTCAAAGGAGATGACATTCTCTTTCAAATTAGGATTAGAAATGCTTATTTCCATACTTAAAGGCTTACAAGGGGTATTTTTTCACATTTATTTATATAAGAGATGTTTTTAAGTCATGCTACCTGTACATAAGGACTATTGATTAATTCATTTATAAAACCTGAGAAGAAATGTACTTTGTAAAAATTAACAAAGTATCACATCAATGTATTCATTTCTGGCAAATTCTTATACCAGTATGTTTTATGTAAAAAAATAGTCATGTTGGGTTAAGACTACATCCACATCCAATTTTACAATAGTACTGAATGTTTCCCACTGCTACCAGGAGAAAAACTTTTTGCTTTAAGGAATATCAATTTTTAAGTTACCTTCTTCAGATTATCATGCCACTAACCTTTTCTTTGAAAAAATAGGCAATCAGGAAACATTTTGTATACTTTATATAATGAGCTAAGATTTGGCCAAAATTTCACCTTCATCATAGTGAAAACTAACTCAAAATTTTGAATTTTTTTTCTTTTCAAAGCATAGACATATTTGGCTTCACTATCATATCAATATGAACTATTCTCTTTCTATCTTTCTATCTTTATTCATTCGATGCCAAACATACCCTATAGAGTACCACCATGACCAGTCAGTGCTGATAATAGACAGAATACTTGTCCTAGTATTTTCCTAACTTGACCTAATTTTGGTACATCTTTTCTTTCCTCTGGCCATACACAGAAGTAGCTCCAGAAGCCATCTACTGGACTTACCCACTCCCTCCTTATTAAAATGTAGTTTTTATAACACGATTTTATAAACATGCTTCAAAGTCTCTCCCATGGTGACAGCGAGAGGTTACTTAGAAATCATACCCATAGTTGGCATTTAAACTTTACCTTTGTAAAATTCCCAGCGAATCTCCCACCGCATTCTTCACTCCTTCTTTCCCAGGTTTCAGAATTTTTTCTCTGAAGGTCTGGAAAGCTTTGAAAGGCATGTTGAATGGGGCACCTCCAAGCTGTTACCAATCGGTCTCCTTCCTCACTTCCACCTCGGAGACCACTCTGTTTCCTCCTGATGAACACCTGCCAGTCAGTTCTCAAGAAAGGAACTACCTTAAATCAAAAGGAGGCAAAACCCAGCCCGATCATACAAAAAGAGACAACTCTCTCCTCTTCCCTCCAGGGGAGTGGAGGGGAAAGAGGCTGGAGGTTTTGTGGCTGGCAATTCAGCCCCTTGCGAAAGCTACAAGCCTAGCAGCAGCCTGTGGCCGCTGTCTCAGGCAGCCAGTCTCAGACTGAGCACAGCCTGGCTCCCTCCCTGGCTGCAGCTGGAGAAGCTGAAGTGGGCTGCCACCCACCAGGGGTCCTAAGAGCAGCAGCAGCATCTGTGGCCAACTCCAGCCCCTCCTGCCTCACCTAGCTGGCCTGTACTGCTCTCTTAGTAATTCTTCCCCAGGTGGTGTTGCAACCCCTGCCCCACTGCTGCCTGAGCTTATTAATGAGCTCTCAGCCAGAGCAGGCACCCGGAGTGAAGTGTATGAAACATTTACAAACCCTCTGCTTTCCTGAGGTCTGGCCTCACCGACGGGCACTCAGCCACTACTTCATGCCTTTTATTCATTCATTCCCCTTGTGGGGAGTCCTGGACAGTTTTTCAGCCAGCCACTAGCATGATGGGGTCCCCAAAAGAGCCCCTGCATTTGAGGCTAAATGCAAACCCCAGGCCACAGCCTTTAAGGAGGCCATTGATTTGGACCTCATCAACAGAGTGGGCTCTCTCCAGGTGTGGTCCATTTGTGCCATTAGGACCATCTAATTGAAAACATCTGAGTCAGTTCTAGCACTCCTCATTCTCTTCAAGATAAATAAAACCCTTTATTATGAAACCCAACCCCAGGCCCCTTCTTGACACATGAGATACCAGACCATGCTTCTTGTCCCACTAAGCTCCATAGTAACAACTTCCCTGATCTCTGCAAGGTCCTTAGTGACTCTGGGCTTTACTGGAGTCATACCCTCTCCCCCTAATTAGGTAACTTCCTTGTCCCTCCACTGAAAATTCCTAAACATCATGAAGGCATCTATTTTTTTTTCAGAGCCTCATAACAAAGGAGCTGTCCATCTTCCATACCCCCAAATTGCCTGTCCTCTTCCCTAGCAAGGTCTGGCTGTCTGTGGAGCTGGACTGGGGATGGAAGAGCAAATTGCTCCCACGTTTATGGCGGTAGGATGTTACCTCCATCAGTGATGCTTCCATAAAGAAAGAGCCCTTATCTAGGATGGCTTCCACGTTCCAAGCCCCAGGTCGCGTGTGAGTGAGAAGCCACGTGCTGCAGGCACACAGATTTTCCAGAAGCCATTTCCACAAAACTGGCCATTGCCATATGCAAACTACAGTCCAAATCCTCCTCCAAATTTTGAATTAAGCCAAGTCAGAGCTGGTCCTCATAGGCTAAAAACTGCTAATATCTATTCGGCTGTTTCTGGGCTACACTGTGTGTTAAGTGCTCAGTATATATTAACACTATCTTTTCACCACTGATTATAGTTAGTAACATCTTATTTTTCTCAATTTTACTGACAAGAAATTGAGGCAAAAAGATTAGATTTGCTGAGATCACACAGCTAATAAATAACCGGACCAGGTTTCAGATCCAAACTACTCTCTTTCTCTTCTCTCCTCTCCCCTCCCTTCTTTTCTCTATCCTCCCTTCTCCTGCTCTCTTTTCATCTCACCCCTCCCCTCTTCTCTTCTTTCCTTCCCTCATATTAATGCCATAGGAAACCACACATTTAATCTCTACCAAGTCTTTCTCTCTCTCCAGAAAGTTCATTTATTTGTTAAAATGAAATACAATCTGATTAAAATTTTTAAACATGCTCTCTCGCTACAGAAAGTTATCACTGGTGAGGCTTCTAATCTATTCCTCCATCCCCTTCACCAGCGACTTTAGGTTACCTAACTCTTGCAGCACATAATGGTTACATTACTAGGAAGACTAAATCCATCTCTAAAAGTCTTTGGCTGCTAAGAACACTAACCATTCCTGCAGACTGTATTGCTCATAGATAACTTTGCAAAGTTTCGTGGTGGTGCATTGGATGGTTGCTAGCAATAGTCATTAAAGTTTTAAAGGAGTATTTTTAGGCATCAGAACTTAAGCACTTAACATGCATTAACTCATTTAATCCCCACAATGATCCTAATACAGGTTGCTACCATTAGTTAATATAATATCTTCCATAGATATGAAAGCCAATGCATGGAGAAATTAAGTAAACTTATTTAAGTTCACACAACTAAGAAACTGAACAGAGATGGGGATGTGGAGCCCAAAATTCTGACTTCAAAAAAATGTACTCAAGTTCTAGAGCTGTTGGTGTGGGACCAGAAAATACAAAGCTAGTGCTATGATTTGAATATTTAGTGTTCCCCCAAAAGTTCATGGTAAAGGATAGATTCCCCAGATTATCATCATTGAGAAGAAATGGGGCCTACTAGGAGGGGGCTTTAGGTAATTGGAGTATGCCCTTCCAATAATAGTGGGATCATATTTCTTTCTCCTTCCTGTCACTTTCCAGTCATGAGATGAGTGATTTTGTTCTACTATGTGCTCTCACCATGATGTTCTATGCTGCCCCAGGCACAAAGTAAATCTGATTTTGGACTGATTCTCTCTAAAAAATTATCATCTAAAACAAATCTTTTTTTCCAAGTTGTATTAGATAGTCATTGAAATAATAAAATCTAACGTAACTAGACTTAACAGAACCGAGGCTCATTTATTGATTCATTACTTCCTTGAGAGTCTATTGGTGTAGGATGTGGAGGACTTTTCTAGGCATTAGAGATATAGGTTGAACAGTCATATTCCTCTTGAGGAAATAAACAACAACAGAATGGGTCCATCACATTACAATGAGTGCCCACTTAGAGGAGAATGGGAGTTGAGCAATGATGCCAGCCTTTACCTTCACCTAGAACATGGCTGATGAAATAACTTGGGACATAGTGACACCTTCTGGTAGTTTATAGATTACTCATGCCAGACATTTTCCCACCAGAAACTAACCAGTTTCAATATTTATTCTGCATACATTTATTGAAACACTAAGTGTAGACTTAGATTTCTGAAATATTTAATAATGTATGCGATTAAATATATCAACAGCTCACATATTTTGCTCTGGGTTTTGTTTTTCTACAGAATATTTTTAAGCAGGTTATATTGATTCCATTTTTCTTTGCCATCAACAGTTATTAGACCAGCCAATGTGATGGTACATGCGTACAATCCCAGCACTTGGGAGGCTGAAAGTTCAAAGTCAGTCTGGGATGAATAGTGAGACCTATCTTAAAACATCTAATTCTTGTTTGTGTCCTAAGACTCTCACAATACCAGGCCTGTAACAATTTTCGGGCTTCTGTTTTTGAAGAGTAAGTGTATTTGAACGAACTATGCTAGGTAGGTTATTGCTTCTTTGTTCAAGCCAAATTTAGATATCATTAAGTCAGAGATAGAGGTACATGTCTATAATCTCAGCACTTGGAAGACTGAGGGAGAAGAATCAAAGCTAGCTTGGATTACAAAGAGACTTGATTGCCAGCCTGGCAACTTAGGAAGAAGCTATCTCAAAAAATAAGTAAATGAAAGCCGGGCGCTGGTGGCTCACGCCTGTAATCCTAGCTACTCAGGAGGCTGAGATCTGAGGATCGCAGTTCAAAGCCAGCCCGGGCAGGAGAGACCGTGAGACTCCTATCTCCAATAAACCACCAGAAAACCGGAAGTGGTGCTGTAGCTCAAGTGGTAGAACGCTCGCCTTGAGCTGAAGAGCTGAGGGACAGCACCCAGGCCCAGAGTTCAAGCCCCATGACTGACAAAAAAAAAAAAATAATAATAATAAGTAAATGAAAGTAAAAGATATGGCCTGGGAAGGTGGCTCAATGGAAGAGTGCTTGCCTTGTATGCATGAGGCCCTGGGTTCTATTCCTCAGTACTACATAAGCAGAAAAAAGCCAGAAGTGGCATAATGGCTCAAGTGGTTGAGGGCTAGCCTTGAGCTAAAAAACTGAGGGACAGCGCCCAGGCCCAGAATTCAGGCCTCATGACCGACACAAAATAAATACATAAAAAATAAAAAGAGGAGATATAGATGTCATTCAACAGTAATAAGGAAAATGTGGACATTTACTGAGCACAGTAGCACCAAGTAGCAGTTCAAGGTGCTTTATAAATATGCTTCATTGAATCCTAATAAGACTAGATGGTATGATTCTTATATTGGAGAAAACTTGTTCTAGTTAGTGAAAGAGATAAGGTCTAAACTCATCCAGTCCATATAATTGTTCATCCCAAAGTAAGAGTTTCTGTGGACTTTTTTTAAAGGAAATCACAGCAAAAGAAATGAAGATGCAAAAATCAGATGAAGACAGAAGGTAAGCACTGAATGCTGAATATTAACAGTATATTAAATTTAACTGAACCTTGCTACAAATTTGTAACAATCCCAGATTTGTTATATTCTTTGAAGGCTAAAAAGATAAGGACAAACAAGCCACTTTAGAAGCACATTAACCCCTAAAGTGACAACTGAAATTTCTCCTGTGCATGTTAAACCAGTGTCTTATTTGATATGATTCTAAGAAGTTTCATAACACAGTCCAAAGCTAATTGAAAAGAAAATTTAAAAGAAAACTTAATGATGCATGGCCCAAACAAGGTAACCCAGGACCAAGATCTCCAGAGTCAGCTTCATTTAATTCAGAATTTCTAGCAGAGCAGTGGGTTGTGGACCTACTTCATAAACATTTCTCAAAACTGTGACTTTAAATGTTGGGCCAAGACTCACATTACCCATCCGTTTAAATCACCTTATAGAGTTTGAGCCATCTACTGAGAATATTTTTCCAAATAAGAGATTTTTTTTCATCTTTTTACAAAAGTGTTCAACGACCAGGTATGATGATTCACACCTGTAATACCAGCACTCACGA